GAGAGAGAGAGAGAGAGAGAGAGAGACGTCGCGGTTCACGAGCGAACGAACGGAACGACGAATAAATCAGCGGACGAAGGAAGGAGGAAAGGAAGGAACGAACGAACGAAGGAACGTGAACAAACGGGAACAACCCCGTCATCACAGGAAGAGGCGAGTCGAGATTACCAGCGCGCCTCGCTTTCTCTCCTTTCGCCCTTCTCTCGCGCTCGCCTCCTTCCTCCCCTTCGGTCCCGCATTCAAACGTGAAGTTATCAGGGCTAATTTTCCGCCTTTGTCGCGCCCCTCGGTGGCCACCAGCCGGTTCATTATTCGCATCTAGCGACCACTGTTTTTAATAACCTAATGGCTCTTACGCGGTACATTATATCGCCGTTCTCTTTTCTGGCTGCTCCCTCCCCCCTCACCTCCGTGCTCTCCCCCTCCGTGCCTACCCTCCGTTGCTTTTTCGTTAGCCCGCTCCTTTATTCGTGCTTCTCGACGAAACTGCAAAATATCCGACGACTCTCCCACCGTCTGCCACCGTTCGTTCGCTCGTGGCGCTTACGGCGATACTTCTCGCGTGCCGGCTCGGACTCGCGCTCCTCCGGGGAAAATTACGGCGAACGAGCGAGTGAGTGAACAAGCGGGCGAGCAACCCTCCTGGAAAGCCACCCCCGGTGGCTTCCTCCCCTGAGCGCTCGCGCGATAGTTGAAGGACGAAACGATCGCTTAAGTCTTTATTCCTCGCGTTTCCGCTGAATGGCGGATCCTCCGCGGTTTTTGTTTTGTCGGATAATAGAGAGGGCGGCGAGACAGGAAATCGCGAACGTCGCGGATATTAGGCATTCGAGTCATCGTCGATTAGCCTCGCTCTTCAGCTGGTAGATCGTCGCGCGAGGAATTTACTTCTGGGATTCGCTTGATTCAGTCCCTCGGGAGAAAAGAGTAACTCAAACTCGACGATAACGATTCTAGCATGCCGCATTCCTCCGTCGAGTTTTACAAAAGGTTCCCGCGATTCGCGTAGGAGTCGAACAAGACGCGAGCACCGGCACTCCTTCGACGAGTAATACGGCTGATTACGATTCCGAATGCGCGGGCGGTGATATTTCACCTCCTTTTCGAGGCTTTACGATCGGACGTTTTTAATTTCCCGCGCGCACTCGCGGAGTTCGGCCCAGGCCGAATGCAAATTGTGACAGGAAAGTTATGCGCGGCCGTGAAATTAATGTCTTCCCGAGATCGGGACTTAATAGCCCGTTATACAGAGTGTCTGGATTTAGGTGCGCTTGTATGCAGGTAAAACTCGTGAAACCTAGTCTAAAACTTCATCATTTTAAAAACTCTGCCACGATAATTATTGAGATAATTATTGACAAGTTTTGTTTCTTCATATAAAATTTTTGTATTATATATTTTTGCGTCGATAGTATATACATAGGATGTGTGTTTGTGTGTGTGTGTGTGTGTGTGTGTGTGTTTTTGACACAACGTTTGTGTGCCAGTGAAGCTTATGAAATCGAGCAAAAAGATCATCTACCGTTTTGCAAATAACCACAATAATTATTCTTTTATTTCGATTTACAACAATGTCGAGTTTGTCATTGTTATAATAGACGAGATGAAAAAAGCAATCTGAATAATCCGATCTCAAATGAGAGGATTTGTATGTTGTTCGTACTTGCCGTACTTGGATCACAACACTCGACTCTTTCAAATGGACAATGAAGGAATGGCATAGACGCGTATCAAAAAATTCCTGCTTGTTTCATGTCGCTATGTTGATTCATTAAGAAGTTATAGGCATTTAAAGACGTAGCATCCATATCAGCTTTTGGCTTGATGTTAGTACCTAGAATTCCTTAGAATTTCTCACGTCAAAGTTAGGATATCGTCCGCCATTTGTAAGGAGGAGGTGAGTGAATGTGTGTGTGTGTGTGTGTGTGTGTGTGAGAGAGAGAGAGAGAGAGAGAGAGAGAGAGAAGCTGCAGTGTGTTTTGTCATTTCAGTCTTATAGCTTCTCTCTTACTTCTATTAACATTTTTTACTTCCACTCATGTCATTCTTAAAAATGGTAAACAGAATGCGAATCAATTAAGAATCATTATGCTTTGTCCTAACTCTGTAAAACTTGATCTACAATGTGCTCTTCGTCTCCTGTTCCTCATTCTTGATCTTTTTCTAACTAAAAGCTCAAGGTTTAAATCAAAAGGAGATAGAGAGAAAGAAATAGAAAGCAAAGAGCACATTGTAGATCAAGTTTTAGCGCCAGAATAAGCGTGCCATCTATTGACACATTACGTTTTCATATTATCCTCTTCTAAAGTGAGGTGAATAACCATATAGCCACAGCGAGCACGTGACCGAAAGGACGACGCTTGCTGGGCTGCAGAGTGAAAGTAGCGAGTCATCATCTGTTAAGGGCCGATTGTTCCAACTTCTTGGTAAACTGACAGTTAAATCATATATCTGTCTTCGTTTTTTACTTAAATTGGACAGAGACAGACACACGATTTAATTGTCAGGTAGCAAGAAGTTAGAACAATTGGCGCTAAACCTTAAGTAGCTATCGTGCGACGTTTAGCCTCAAGATTGTTAACTTCATAAAACCTAGGACTCTTCCTAATTTATGAAAAGTTCTTATTGAAACTTGTGTCATTGTAATTATTATAATATAAAGATGTAGATTAGTGATGTAGATAGAGAAATATATAAAATGATATAGAGATAACCCGCATAATAAGGAATTAAGGCAAATCCCACAGATTTCATGAAGTTGACGGTCTTGAGGTTAAGCGCCGCGACAATCAGTCGTGAGGCTTGGCGAGTAAGTTGGAAAAGGAAGGTGTATTATAAAGTGAGATGAACGACTGCGCGACTTGTACAGCGTGGTGAGGATAGCGAACTCTGCGTACGTGCGATATATGCGTTTCTCAAAATAGAACGTCTGGACGCGACATTGTTATGATCAACGCATAAATAAACAGGTGCGCTGACGCACCGCAATAGCGCCGGCCCGATCGAGAGCGCAGATCAATACGAACGTCAATAACTCCACTTATAGACGTCGTACCAACTTAAAACAAAAACCGTTGGAAAGGGGAAATTGTCGCACTTTTGATGGACGTAAAGTCGCTTTTTTGTGGAATAAAAATCAAATAGCATAATCATAAATACGAAAGACTATTTTAATAGTGATAATAATGAGAACTTTGCTCTGATTTAGATCTGTTCAAATTTGGCTGTGTTAACGCGAAATTTAGTCCAAATGAACGAATCGACGCGTTTTGGTTGAAGCATACAGAATTCCTGGTTCCTGGATCTACACTTGATTTTAAGAACTAGGAATTTCATTTTTTTCAAAATGCGTTGATTTGTTCATCAAACTTCACTTTAATACAACCAAACTTTTTTCTCCGTGTATATCAGACGTGTCTTTTGAGGCATGTCTCTTGAGATATGCCTACAGAACTCGTCCCACCACACCGCGCGCATTGATCAACTAATTCCCAGTCAGTTAATATCTCGATAATTATTGTGGTTACAAAGTGTGAATTGTTGCTCAGTTTAACGAGCTCCACTTGTACACGAGCAGAGTCGAACATTTAAATCCAGACACCCCGTATACTCCGTGCGCCACATGCACATACACGTGCGCAATTCCACGAGTGGATTTATGAAGTGACGAACACTCTCTTGCGCGCTCGCTCGCTAAATTGAATTCGACTTGGCCCATTTCTTGCCGTGTTAATCGTGACTCGTCGACGAATCGAGCGCCGACATTCTCGCTGAAACGTGTGCTACTTTTTCTCGCTTCTTATGACAGCTCTGGATTGCATAATTGAGGACGTTTACTTCGCGAACGACTCGCATATCTCTTGGAGACGATGTCACATATTATACCATTTTGTCAACGGAGATCTTTATTTTTCCGAAGATTTTCCGAAATAACGTATTGCTTCTCATAAGAAATGATTAACACTTACAGCATGAGAAATATAGCCGGGTCGCTCTCCCCCTCGCCGATTCGACTCTGTCAAATGTACTTCCTCATTTACGTCATGCTGGCCATCGTGTCTACGACATTCAGCTCGGCGGAAATTAATAAGCATGACGGAAGCAAAGCGACACACATGAAGGACGAATATAGCTCGGTTAGAAGCGCTAAGAAATCGACGATCTCCCCGTATCAGCGTGAAAATAATGAAGTAAAGAATTGAAATCGAAATATGTTAGTCTTTTTGATTTATAAACTTTTATTGCTGACAAACACATTTAGCATATAATAACAGATTTCCAAGCAGAATCTATTTCAGCAGGAATGTAATATAATAATATAAATGTGTAATTTTTGATTCGATATTCATATAATTGGTAGTGGTAAATAGTATTAAGTTGCAGGGGGAAGGGATGGATTGTAGGTCAATCTATACGTAGATCGCGTAAGTGTGAATCGCTTGCTCGTTGCTCTGTTCTGCAAACGCGATTCTCTTGTTGGCACAGAGCCTTTCCGACGCGAGAACTTCACAGAACGAGCGCATTATCCTCGTTCATGTTGACGATCGGGACGATATATCGGCGCCGGGTGAAAGAAACGCGCGATGCGACGACAGACATCCGTTCAGAGGCGCGTTTTAATATCTCAAGCGTTAATTTCTTTCGGCTTCGAGAGACACACATACATGCAGGCCGCGACGCACTACTGCCGCCGCGGCAGCATCCGAGGGCATCCCTCTCTCGTCGGCTCTCGCGGCTCTCGTCCTTACGCCGGATGACAAAATGACAAAGGGCTGGTCGCCCCGGGCCAGCGATATTACCGTTTCCGTTTCGGAACTATGCGAACTGTCGTCCGCCGCCCCTCGTCTCGGCCGCGTATTGCGGCCGAAAACGCCACGTGATTGATTATGCCCGCCGTACTTTCGGTGCCCGGCTCCCGCAAAGACCGATTGATGGAGAGCTTGAAGAAGAGAGAGAGAGAGAGAGAGGAGAGAGAGAAAGAGAGAAAGAGGAGAGAGCGAGCGAGAGAGAGAGGGAGAGAGGGAGAGGGAGAGAGGGAGAGGGAGAGGGGGAGAGAGAGAGAGAGAGAGAG